ATATATATATATTTATATGCATATACCGTATGCGCAGCATAAATACCTACATGGTACACATAGGGCGTATACACTGAAGCGTTTCTTTGAAAGGGTCGGAAGGGTTTCACTAAAGGCGGCTTCCTCACTCCTGTAAAAGGTTCCCTTGTGCCGAACTCCTACCCCTGCACGCAATCCCGTAATATGCAGTGAACAAGCGCACTGTCTTACACGACACCGACCCCCCTCCTCCAAAAAATGGCACCCCAAAAAAAGGGCCACAAACAAGTTCCACCCTTGCAGTTACAGCAATGTCGGGTGGGCCTAGCATACGGTAACTGCTCTCAAGCTTCTTGCGTTGTTATGGGATGTGTCGCGCGGCTTTGCTGAGTGCGGGCACCGCTCGTTTGCCTTTCTGGCGATGATCTCGCTAAGGTTGACCCGCTCTCACTTGCAGCAGAAATCCAATTGGAAACCCCCATTCCTTCTTGAAAGCTGGAAGGCATGGAGTGTCCGGAGGGCTCCGATGAGCAGCCTCTAGGCTTCAAGGAACTTCAAGGGCTAGCGGCTAGGGCGAGCAAAGGAACTGAGCAAGGATGCAAAAGGGGTTCCAAGGAGGTTTGGAGGTTGTCAAGAACTTAGTCCTCGCATCTTCAATTTTCCGTGCATGGGGACCACTTTGGATTGAGACCGCGGCTTGAAAGCTGATGCCAAAACCCTTGAATGCCAGAGGTCAGTCGCCCAGTCTCGAGACTTCAATTTTGGATGGCACCTACCAGTAAAAGACTCCAAGTCACTATGAAATTGAAGGAAGACCTGTCTTATAGAAGCGGCAAGACTGCTCCTGCCAGGGAAACATCCTGGCATGTCCACGCGATTTGCTGTTCTTGGAAACAGATGCTAGCATCGGAATGTCTGCAAGATGGCTCTGCGAGAAGAGCTAAGGTTTTTCCCTTGTTCAGAGGAGGTCGGGATGGCCAAAGCTGATCGTGCCGCTAGGTAACTCGGTATCTAGGTACAAACGTTAGTCTGCCCAGATTGGTCAGGGCAGCGCCTTCTTCTGAACATGTTAGTTAACGGTACGGGCTCGTGCTAGCTCTGTAAGAGCTCAGGAGCTGCAGAGCGGAGCTTGGATGTGAGCGGGAGGGCCGTCACAGTGGAAGTGTGGTTGTGCAGACTGCAGGTCCTTGATGACTAGATTTAAGGGACAGTTGTATATGGCTGGAATGCCGCCAGGAGATTCTGAACTCCACTGCGTTCAGCTATCCTGTGCCACAGGATATGGGGTTTCAGAGAATTTGGGATCCTTTTCCAAAGCCCTAAATGCAGTAGGATCCTTATCTCTAAGATTTCCTGTCCCCTCTCCGCGCTGTAGCATCTTCGACTTTCTTCTGGCTGCATCATGTTTTGGTCCTATGATTCCATGTGCTCGAGGCTTGTAGGCGCAACACCATGTCTGCCGCCTCTGTGCCGACCAGCACCCGTGATACCCCGCGTGACATATCACTCCATCGAGACGGCACGAACTTCCGCCCTGCACGGTCTCCGGCAAGCAATATGTAGACAGTCTGCACTGTGTTATGCAAGACTGTTGAAGACTGTCACTTGACGCAAACCCGGGCTCGCAGGGCAAATTTTCAGCGCCGTCAGAGCAGTACGGCTAAGCTGTGGCATGACCGGCAGTGTTCTTTCTACGCGCTGGCGATCAACTCGAAAGAGTCCTGAAGAACGGCATGAACCGAGGATTTTCCCCTTGAGCACCGCACAGAAAGAGTGCATGCGTGCAGCTGTGACTTCGACAGGAAGGCTACTTCGTGGAGTGGAACGAGCCGTTGTGGGTCTTCAAGAGCCTTTGTTTTGTTTACAACAGGTGATGCCTTATCTGCTTTAAAGTTGGATCCCAGAACAGCCCAGAGGTCAAGGAGTGTTCCTTTGCTCCGCAATTGGCGCATCGTTCAATTGGTTCCATAGCTAGCAGGAACTTCTGGCCACAAGGGTGTATCACAGTGTCTTAATCCCCAAATTAGCGAGCCAGCCATTTAAAGGGTCGCAACATTTCCGATATGCTTTCTTTTGGGACTCCCAGTAGCCGCATGTTGCGACCTGCTTCTGCAACTGTTGGCCGTGTTGGGTCGCGGTGCTAGATGGCCTGTTCTCACTCCGTGCTTTGCATCTCAGCACCTGTGGGTCATTAGATATATTGAGATTGTACCAATGCACCCCATATTCGTTAGCTTGACGTGGATGTAGAAGGAAGGATACCCGTACGAGAAGGGGACAACAGACTTCAGGTGCGTTGACCTGGACTCCTGCCCGGGTGGCATGGCCTCGCACTGCGGAGAAGGCATGTACTGTAGCTTTCGCTCAGGGTTCTTGCTGACTTGCGGCGTGTGAACGCAGCAAACACGCTGTGCCAAGCTATCTATGTATTGGTACAAGTTTCACACCATGATGAGTTTCTGCACTTCAGGCTTGCAGGGAGCCGCTTGCGGTGCCTGCGCAGCAGGCTTCTACAAGCAAGCAGGCCTGCTGGCCTGGTTGCGAGTGGCAGAGTCTGAGGAATCCGCGAGGGAGATTCGCCACAAGAACGGACGAATCTACACAGCATGGTGCTTCGCGCCAAATGTTCAGCGGATGCTCTGAGCAATTCCCCTAGGCCACTATGCAACACACAGCCGCCGCACACGTTAGCGTCCTTCAGCCGGAGAGTGCTTTTAGTGGCTCTGTGTGTTTTCTACATGTTCATTGCACTTCAGCTTGCAGTCACGATGATGTCCTTAAATTCGATTCAGTCAAGATCGCCCTGAATGACTTGAATGATCTGTGACCTGGATGGATTAGTCAGGTCAGTTCCCCTCACCAGCCGGGGATTGTTCCAGGTCTGCAACATCGGGAAAGTCTAGCCAGTCCCATATATTCCAAGTGTCTTGGTGCAATGCCAAACCCCACGGCACTGTCAGGCACCTGCTACAAATGTGGAGACATGGAGAAGCATCCCCTGTTCCTCATCATCCCGTGGCTTGTCTTTCACAATCCACACAGATGACACGTAATGCTTGTGTTCTGCCCTGGGCCCAATGGTTTTGTGGGACGTCTGCAGGACCCTAGCTCACAGCAATGCCTTCCACAGTCCCTGAAGCTCCATGCGATATCTCTTGAGACGCATCACCACCATTGCGCCATCGCTGACTCCTCTGCCCTGCTGGAGGCTTCTGCTGTCGCCGGTCGCCATTCTCGTCCTGTACAAGGCATGCATCATGGCCCGACCTGCGCAGGCTGCATTTTTCAAGAGGTTAGAAGGGCTTATTGCTGAGTGAGGCGCTGCTTGAAGGCAAACATCTGCCCAGATATCGTCATAGATTGTGGGCATCTGCCGAAGTGCAGTACCGACCCTGCAGGCACAGCATTGAGACGACATATATTTGGCCTTGGAAGTCAGAAGCCAACTTACTCCTCCACAGCTCCCGAATGCTCTCTCTTTGTCTCTCTCTCTCTCTCTCTCTCTCTCTCTCGCTCTCTCTCTTTCTCTCCCGCTATCCCTCCTTTTCCTCCTCTCGGAACCAGAGGTGTCGCAGGATGACGTGGGAAAATGGGGAAAGACGACACAAGGCCGGGGGGGGAGGGGGGGGGCAGGCCAGAGGGGTCAAGAGAGCTGTGCTGCCTGTGTTTAGTTCCGGTTGCTCAGAGGTCCAAGTCGAATCTCGTCAGGTTTTACTTCAGCAAGCTGTGTCCGAAATTCGCGTGACGCTGGAAGGTTTCGGTGGTATTGGCTACCTGCTTCTGGTATATGTCCAGTCGATTTCCGTGATCCTGGCCGTCTTCCCCACGGTTCCAGCGATGTTAAGCTCAGGCGCCGAGCCATTGTAAGTAAGCGGATGCATGCAACCTCGGAATGATGCACTCTGTTGCATGAGCCCGCTTGCGCTCATCTCGCCCTGTGCAGGCAAGCTTAGCAACGCTTGTGAAAGCGACCCCGACGTTCCCACGCAGACCTTGATACTCTATGAACTCTACGAGTTAGTGTATTTCTCAGTAGCACCACTGGCAGCAGGCTTGAGCTGGAGCGGGGCCAGCGCAGAGATCACGTCTCTATTCCGCATCGAGTGTGCAGGCGCGTCACATGCGAATGGACATGTTAGATAATCATAGGTGCATGTGCAGTTTTTTTTGAGCTCGTCCAGGGCGTGACTCAAGTTTTTTGTCGAGTGGAGCCTTGCAGCGGTGCTGCAAGAACAAAGCAGAGCCGGAATCCGATTCGGTACATCTGGTGCCTCGTGGTGATTGCAAGACCATGTTATGAACATAGTTCAATGTCAATAGGTCGGCCTTAACCGCCTTAACCAGCAAGACATCTTCATTTTGCACTGCGATGCGTTGATTTGCTCACCCGGGCAGGCCCTTCCAATTTTACGGAAAACTTCCTGTTCAACCTGTGCCTCGGTCGGTGGAATCAGAGCAGTCGAGCGCTGCTACAAGTAGTTCTGTGAAGCGTCCACCACTGCTTAACCGTGCAGCCTTTCGCTGCGCGACATGGCATGATGGTGAGGTTCAATCCGCAGTTGCAGATGATGACTCTTTCAGTTGGGGATCCAGGGTTTGCCTCGGCCAGCTCATCTGCAGGTTGTGTCGGACAATTGTTCTTCATCTATATTCTCCGCTTTACCTCCGTGGAAGCTCACCAATCCAAAAACAAACAATGCATCTACTTGGCCCCCTGGACACTCTACAGCAAAAAGAAGTGTCAGCATGTCCCCACGCATTCTCACAGCCCGACGAATCTCAAGCTAGAGATTCTCAATTCGTCTCAGCCAAAACCATCCGAAATCCACACCCACATCCGTCCTACACATCCAAACTCATGAAGCTCTAGCGACTCTAGCGAAGCCGGGCGGTGGGAGAATCCCCGATAGAGGAGTGGAGTAGTTGGCCTTCCTGGTTGGCCCTCTGCTCGTGACTCCTGCAGCTGCAGTGGGGTGGACTCCCTGTCGAGGGTTGGTGGGGTGTGCCCCGCCTTCCTCCCGCGATCCCTGAACGCATCAAGCTGGCAGAGAGAGATGCTTGAAATCCTCCCCCAGTGCCCAGCACTGTGCAGTTGCCAATACAGGAGCTGCAAGCATAGTTCTTGCATGATGAGGCCTTTCTCAGTCCTGTACTTAATTAGTGTCCTACTGGTAGTGCAGAAGAGCCGCGGCTGACAGCTTCACGCTCCTCTGCATCTTTGCTGTTAACGACTAAAGACCGACGACAGTTCCCCTGCGGACCAGGCTTGTCAGATTCTCGGTTGCGGACCTTTGCTGGCCTTCGTAGCTTGCGATCCCTTTTTCGCCTTGCAGGCAAGGGGTTTCCCCTTAGCAGGCTGTGCATCTGACATTCGAACTCGCGTGGATGTCTCCTGTTCGTGTAAAGATGCATGGATGTCTCGCACGCATGATTTGTACCCTGAGCGAGGTCGTTCGTCGGTGTTGGAGCGAGTTTGGGAGAGAGAAAGTCGAGTCAGACCCAGCAAGTCACGACACGGTCCCATGACTCACCCCTTTACCGTTCGTGTGTGTGTGTGTGTGTGGTGTGAAGAACACTCAGCAGTGAGCTTGCTTTGACTCATCAGCAGTGACTTGATCGCCGGGGCCCAAGCGACGTCGCTCTTAGCCTTTTGCAGTTGCGCGAAAGCAGTGCATGTGCTGCTTGCGCCTGCGTGCCGGTTGTTTCTTGGGGTTGCTTAGTTCAATGCATATTGGTAGCGGAGCTGGTTGCGGCCAGCTCTAGGATAGGTGGGTTAGGTGCTCTGCTTGCTTTCCTGCGGAACCGACCATGGCTGCGAACTTGGCGGCAAGTGCTGCAGAGGCGCCTGTGCCTGATGATCCATGGGACCTAGATGATCCATGGTCTGCTGACCCTGGACAGCAGGCTCCTGAGCAGGGGCCAAGTATGAGTTCTCCTTCGGTGCCGCAGTCTGCGTGGAGTGTGGTGAGTCAAGGGCTGCATGCTGCTGGACCCCCCGTGTCCTACGGCCCCCCTTTGCAGCCTCCGAACGTGGCTCCGATGCAAGGCGATGGTGGAGCTGTGCAAGCTGCACCTGTGCAATCGATGATGTGGCCCGCCGGCCTTGGACAGATGCCACCCTTCGGCACTCACCTCCCGATGCCTTGGTCGTGGTCGGTGCCATCGGCGTGGGGTTACCCAGTGGGAATCCGGGCATGCCTGGATCGATGCTTGGGGGGCACCCGGCTTGTGGCATGGGCCTTGTGAGGCTGCAGTGCCGCAGCCCGCGATGCAGCCGACGATGCCTCCAGGGATGTCTGGAGGAGGGCCGCCGCCTTCTATCCCTCCCATTCTAGGCCACGACAGAGCGTGTCTGGAAGTGGCCCGGCTGGCTCAAGAAATGGTGCTGGACCTGGCCCTGCTCCCCAAGGCGGAGGAGATTCTCGGCAACCTGACGGGCCAGCTGCACAGGACCTCCTGGAGGGCGAGATCCGGAACATCCTGATGATCGTCCTCCCTATGTTGGTCGGCCCCCTTCCGCTCAGAGCTCCTCGGCGGCGACTTCAGAGCTGCGTTCTCTTCTACGTCGACATGCCAAGGAACATGGAGGGCGGCCAAAGAGCTCAATCAGCAGTGTCGAGTTTGCTGGCGACCGGCGTCGCTACCGTGCCTGGAAAAGGGCCATTGAGGCTCAGACTCAGCTCTATCAGCTGGAACCCGCCGAGGTCACGATGTTGGTTTACCTTAGCACCCGTGCTGACGCACGGGATGCTCTTGACCAGCACGCGCTGGCGGACTATATCGCACCGGGCGGCGAAGTGCACATTTTGGATGAATCTTTCGGCGAAACTACAAGTGAGCTCTTCGAGAGGGCGGAGAGGGAGTTGTCGTCCTACAGGCGGCTCCCAGGCCAGAGCATGGCAAGTTATCTTGCCGGCATGAAACGGCTGAAGGCTCAGTCGGCTCAGTACGTACGGGTGGACCCGGGCACAACCCTCCCGACCTTCTGGATGATGATATCTGGGCCTCGGCGAGCTTGGGACAAGCGCTCTCCATTGACTCCGAGCTCGCCCGCTTGGCCGAGATGCGCTCAGCAGCTAAGGTGGCACTCCTTCGAGGAGACATCCGGGAGAAGATCAAGAAGGCGTTGCGCCGAGCTCCTGCAGGGGAACGTCGAGCTTACGCCCCGGGTGAGCTGGTTTACTTTTGGTCGCCGCGAGTGAACAAGGGTCGCTACCGCAAGGACGTTGGATGCTGGCGTGGCCCAGGAGTGGTTCTGGTGCCTGACGGGCACGAGCGCTACTTTGTTTCATGGCGGGGCCGGTGCCTACTTCTGGCTTCGGCAAACCTCAAAGGCGCTGGTCAGGAGACTGCAGCCGATCAACAGCTGCATTGGAAGGAGATGCAGGCCGAGATGAAAAAGGGCTTCATCGACTTGGCGGATGAGCCGGAGCCTCCTGCTGAAGCTGACTTTGTTCCTCAAGGTTCTGGTGATAAGCCAAGGCGAGCGGTCACCGGAACAGGTCGAAAGATGACGGAGGCCCGCAAGATGATGCGAGGCCTCAAGTCCGTGAAGCGCACCTTGGGATTGCCGTTCAACAATTGGCCAAGATTCGCCATGTTTTGGGGAGACGAGCTCAACGAGAACCGCCTCAAAGGGCGGGCCAGCCTCCTCGAGATGATCCAGAACAATCAGAACAACCTCTTCCACTGGGGGCTTCAAAGCGTGGAGGCAGTGATGCTGTAGATGCGTTGCCTCATCGAGATGAAGCAGAACAATCAGAACAACCTCTTCCACTGGCAGCTCCAGGATCTATGGGATCAAGCTCCACAGGTCGCACGTGAGCCGGGCTATGACTACCTCGATGACCTGCCGTTCTGTCTCAAGAGGAAGCTTAACCCAGACGAGGATGGTGAGGTGGCCAAGGAAGTCTCCACAAAGCGCCTGAGAACGAGTGACGTTGCCAATTTCGTTTTGATTTCGGTGAGTACAGCTGAGCTGGGTGTTGCATCGCCAGAGGCCGCCTTGAAGTGGCTCAAAAGAGGTGAGGTTCGGCAGCTCAGCGAGATCCTGGACATTCCCTTGACATCGGCCCGACTGCACCGTGCTCCAAGGAAGCGTTTCCAGAGACCTGGTCCCAGAGGAAAGAAAGGGCGCATTACCTTGATGCTTGGATAGGATCCACAACAAGTTTTGGTTGCTGAGGAGAAGCCTGAGGATGTGAGCCAGCATCCCCGTCGGAAGTGTCCACACTTGTGGCGGGGCCTCTCCCTCTTCTACCAGAGAGACCGCTCGCACCTTTGCCGACTGATCTCAAGCGAGAACGCCAAGCACTTCTTCAAAGCAGGGCTGCGGAGTCTGTCTTTGTGGCCAAGGAAGGGGAGCTCTACGAAGTGAAGGTGCCGAACCAAGAGGTTATCCAGGCTGCCTTTGCCGACAGCTCCGGATCAAGGCTGCTGATAAGTCAACACTTTTAGTTTTCGATGTGAAGAACACTCAGCAGTGAGCTTGCTTTGACTCATCAGCAGTGACTTGATCGCCGGGGCCCAAGCGACGTCGCTCTTAGCCTTGTGCAGTTGCGCGAAAACAGTGCATGTGCTGCTTGCGCCTGCGTGCCGGTTGTTTCTTGGGGTTGCTTAGTTCAATCCATATGTGGCTGGTTCCTACCACAAGCCACTCCGATCTCAGGACACTTCTGGCGGTTGTACCATCCGTAGAATAACGCGTTGCTTCGCAAGAAAGTGCGTTTGTGTCTCGGGAGCTACCCTGGTACAGCATCCATGCAATCCGTAAGTTTTGTGTGCAACGACCTAGACAGGTGTTTTGAGCTCGGCGGGTGTCAAAGCGAGGTTTCTGCCAGAGATCGTCGGCGTGATCTTCTTCTTGACTTGGCTGATAGCTGGGGCCTCAGTGTGGCATTTCGTCCCGTGCTCAATAAGAACGGATGCTATGCTCACCGGATGTACACAAGCTTTGAGCCTTGAGACTCTGGCTCCCGACTGTGGACGCCTTGACAAACTCCTGCAATCCTCTTTGCAGGCCCGATTCATCCCGAAGATCCGCATGGACGGCGACATCGTCCTGGGTTGTTTCGGAGGTCAGACTGCATGGCCAACGCAGACTTTTTCAGACAAGTCTTGTGGATTCTGTAGCATGAACAGCGGGGCCAGTATTCCGGGTGCCTTGCAAATCGACAGGCATTCTGAAGACCTTCTTCGTCACTGTCGCATCCAAGTGCTTCTCATTGCTGCTTGTCGTAGTCTTGGCACTCAATCAGGGAAGCTCCAGAGGGGCGAATCCAATTGCAGCCGGGCCGATAATCTTATAGGATCTCATAGGGCGGGGGCACAAATTCGCGGTGGACAAGGCGTGGCACAAGCCTCGGTGTCAGGGAGGGTGGCGCGAGACAATGATTCACGACTTGTGTACGACTGCAGTCAGAGCTTCAAGTCCAGGTTCCAATGCTACAGTCATCCGAACGGCATGCGGTCAATGCGGTCGTCGCCCGAGGAGCCCCGGATTATAAAGGACTGGTGGTTGTTTTGTGCTTTTCGACCTTCTAGTCTTCAGAGCACATGTGGCATGATTTCATAGAATGACGTGTCCATGTCTTTTGGAGCTTTTGCTCTGGCAGACATTTCCAAACTCTTCGGTGCTTCTCTGAGGTACTGGAGCACTCGGATGTGTGGCTCAGCGCCTCGGTGCAAAGAAGGGGGGCCTGCGTTTTCAGAAGGTAGCGATGGCAATCTGCCATAAACAGAACTTCACAAGGTCGGGGTTCATAAATGTTGGGCCTCTGTTGGCGGACGCTATGTCAGGCTAGACTACATTGTCTGCATGTATAGATGGCATCGTATGCCCCGGTATGTCACAAGCTGTTATCTTAACTCTTAAGTTTTGCTTTGTTATGTTTGTAAAGCCATGCTACAATGTTATGGAGGTTTACATGCTGTGGTGTAGCGTGAATATCACGGCCGCATAGTTTTCCGTGCTGAGTTATGCACTGCTGTGCTATGTTATTCTCTGCTACGCCTGCATGCATGCATTCATGTGTGTATGCGTGTGTGTGTGTGTATGCTTTTCCGTCCGCCTGTCTGTCTGTTTGTCGGTCCGTCCGTC